CCTGTCATCAACCAAATAAGAGAAACATATATAAAGAAGGACATCCCTCATCACAGAAGTTTCCTAAGATAGGCGAAACATGGCCAACATAGATCAGGAAGTATTTTAGCTGTCTAATGTCTATTAAATTTCAATGTATTCCAGTTTTTTATAATGAAAAGTTTTCACATCTGCAATGGCTGAAGTACTGCTCAGAAGAAAAAATCTGGCATACCCAGGAAGTGTAAAAGAGAAGTGAATTAGGAGTCTGGTACAAGGAGCTTGAACAGAAAAGGGTGTAGAGATGGCTCCATGATTAAAACTGCATCCTGCTTGTGCAGAGGGCATGGATTTGCTTCCCACACTTAGAAATGTTAAATAGACAAATTACCAGAGATTTAAAAATATATATATGATGGGAGAGAGTTTTCTGTTAAAATGCCTAGGGATAAATTTAGAAACAACCGCTAAGACAACAATGACTGCTGTGGAAGGAAATGGCTAAGTGAGGAATCATGAAATTGTTTAATCATATGGCATTTTGAACAATTTACATCCATCACCATTTAAGTTCTTCACATGGGCAATCACCTGGTCAGAATTCTTTTTTAGAAAAAGAAGATTCAGAGCTGGGTGTTGGTGGCACATGCCTTTAATCCCAGGGAGGCAGAGGCAGATGGATCTTTGTGAGTTCGAGGCCGGCCTGGTCTACAAAGCGAGTTTCAGGACAGGCTCCAAAACAATACAGAGAAACCCTGTCTCAAAAAACCAAAAAGATAAAAAGAAGAGAGAAAGAAACTTCGGGCAAATTATGTCAAATTATGTAGATGTTTTTGCATTTCCCAAGCCACTGCCTTTCTAGTTAGAGTCTCCTAAGGCTGACTGACTGTGGTAGCTCTTTTTGTGCTTCCCAGATTCCTGGGGGGGGGGGGGAGAACCCAGACACCAGGATGGTCTTGCCTGAATGACAATGTCTTGATCAGGTATTTGTACTCCAGACCCCCAAAGCCCTGTGTGGATTTAAGAAACCCAGTGCTCCTGCATCAGGAACAAGAGTTCTGGAATTTAAAAAGATGTGTTCTCTTTTATCCAGAGGTTCTGTTTTCTCAGAGTATGGGAACCCATAAAAGCAGAACCAAGGACTTTAATAGCCTTCTCTTTTCATTTATATAGTTATTTCAATGGCTTTGTTTTTTATTTGTTTTTGAGATGGGATCATGGAGCCCTGGCTGGCTTTGAACTCATAGAAATCCTTCTGCTTCTGAGTGTTGGGACTAAAGGTATACACCACCTGCCCAGCCTTAAATTATTATAATGGTCTCTTGACTTCTATAATGTTAAGCTGAGATGCTCTGGACTTGGCATTGGTTGTATGATGACTACCACTTCTATGTTTTTCTCTTTGGTTTGCACACAGTAGTGTCCTATTGGGACTGGCCACTCATCTGTTTCATTGTGATGAGACTGGGGAGTCTGGCTTGCATACAGGGTGCAGTGCTCACCAAATCATAACTCCTCCAGGAACTGCATCCCTCAGAGTACTGAGTCAAGTGGCAGTCCACAGAATGGCCATACATCCCCGCTTTCTCTTGGCCCAGCTTGACTGGTCCAGTCAACTTATTTGTTCCAGTAGCACTAACTGTTCTCAACACTATTTGGAGAGTGTCTATAGGCTGATAGGGACATGCCTGGAACAGGGTAATTGTCAGTGTACCTTTAGCTAATACTGGCCCACAGTGGTTTACGAATCTCAGCCACACATCTTTAATGTCCAGCACTAGGGAGGCAGAAGCAGGGGGATTTCTGTGAGTTCAAGGCCAGCCTGGTCTACAGAGTGAGCTCCAGGATAGACAGGGATGAAGAGAGAAAATGTGGCTCTGAGGAAAAAAGAATCACTAATTTCAGATTTACTAAAGTGTAGTCACTCGTGACTAAAGCTTCATTATGATAGAACAACAATTACCCTTTATCCAACTTAATCCTTGTCATGATTTTTCTCATCACTGTAACAAATACCTGGCAAAAAGCAACCTAAGAGAAGAAGGCTTTATTTTGGCTCATGATTTAAGAGGGCATAGTTAATTACTGTGGGGAAGTATGGCTTAGTAACTACTCTGGGCTGTGGCAGTTGGAACCTGAGGCTTCGTGTTCCTCAAGTTAGGACAGTCACAGTGCACAGCCACCTGCCTCCCTTTTTCCCTTTTTATTCAGTCTGAGACTCCCGTCAGTGAGATGGGCAACCATATTTGTAGCGCCCACACTATGATCTGTTTCATGAATCTGGCGAAGGCTTAGAGATTGAAATAAAGAGACAAGATAGCAGGTCATTCATTCAATGGCAATGTTGGAACGCCGAATGCGGTTTTTTGAGGGGATGGAATGGGCTTAAATACTGACTTACAGCACAGTGGAAAATTACAGGAATTTTAGGCTTAGCTGCTCCCCAAGAGGTGTGTGTTGTCACAAGGTGTGTGTTATCAAAACAGGAAGAGTACCAATAACAACTTTGGGGCAAGGAGTTCCGACCAACAGCTTCAGGCTTGCTCAAGGTACCTAGGTACCTCGGGGGTTCATGCAGGGCCCTACATATATTCTGGGTTTTTCCTCTTTGAACTCTCTGGAAACGGCTTGACAGGCATGCCAGGTGTGTCTCCTAGACACCTCCTAGAGGATTCTAAATTCTGCAGTGTTGACAACGATGACTAACCATCACAGTTCTTCATGAAGAATATGTCTTTCCCTCTCTCTTTCTCTCTCTCTCTCTCTTTCTCTCTCTCTGGCATTAAGTGCCAAAAATTTCAGGAGCTGGAGGATGGCTCAGCAGAAGGCCCAAGTTTGATTCCCAGCATCCATGTCAGGTGGCTCACAATCATCAGTAACACAAGCTCCAGGAGATCTAACACTATCTAACACCCTCTTCTGGACTTCACAGGCACCATCATTCACTTGCACATACCTATACAGATACACTTGTATACAAACTTAAAAAAAAAAAAAAAGCTTCATTCTTCGTTGTGTGTTTGTGTACGTACATGCATTCACATTTTTTTAATATTTTTTAATATTTATTTATTTATTCTGTATACAGTATTCTATCTGAATGTCAGATAGAATACAGGTCAGAAGAGGGGAGCAGATCTCATTACAGATGGTTGTGAGCCACCATGTGGTTGCTGGGAATTGAACTCAGGACCTCTGGAATAGCAGTCAATGCTCTTAACCTCTGAGCCATCTTTCCAGCCCCGCATTTGCATTTTTTATGTAAGTGCAGATACATGCCTGCCACAGTATGTGAATGTGTGGAGTTCAGAGAACAATTTCATATATTAGCCCTCACCTTTGCAGTCAGTGGGACCTGGGAGAATGGAGCCACCTTGGAGGTGGACTAAAGTTTCACAATTTATACTCTAAGGGTTAAGAGGAGTCACATGATCAGCAAGTGGCAGTCAGGCCACACATGGCAAAAACATGTTTTTCCATAGAGGCATATAAACACATAACAATAGCCAGTTGTAATGAATAATCTGAAGAAACTCCAACTCCCTCCTATCTGCTACACCTGGGAGGGTCATGAAAACACACTCCAAGAACAATTTTGTGTTTTTGAAGAAATTGAGGTCACAAGACTCTTGCCTTATTTTCTTGGAGTTTTCTCAGAGCATTCAGAATGTCTTCTTAGATGCACTCCTCATACAACTCCATTCCTGGACTGTGTTCTGCCATTCACTTTTCACCTTGTTTGAGTTTCGTTCTCTCTTGTCCCTGCTGCATACACTTGTTTCTCTTGTCCCCCTCTGCATACAATTGTTTCTGTTGTCCCTGCTGCATACACTAGGACAGCTGGCTCACAAGCTTCCCAGAATTCTGTCTTTGCATCCCATCCTGCCATAAGAATGCTTGGATTACCATTGAGTGCTATTGAGTCCAGCTTCTGCACAGGTTCTGTATGGCTCAGGTCCCCATGCTTGCAGTACAAAAGCTTTACCCACTGAACCATCTCCCCAACTCAAATGTTCTTGTATATATATTTTTATTTGGGTTTGTTTGTTTGTATGTATGTTTCTGAAAGATCTCATCTTTTAGGGGGTTGGGGAAGTGAGACAGGGTTTTTCTACATAGATCTGACTGTCCTGGAACTTACTATGTAGACCAGGCTGGCCCTGAACTCAGTGAGATCTACCTGCCTCTGCCTCTGCCTTGAGTGCTGGGATTAAATGTGTGCACCATCACAACTGGTGTTGGGAGTGGTCTTCGTGAGTCTGTACCTGAGTGGGGGAGTGTGGGTAAAGGAAAGGCTAGCTATAGATAATAAAGAAAAACAGAGAGACAGAAGGTCAGGAGGGCAGATCAGTCAATACTGAAATGCCAGGAGTTTATTTCTCACTACTCTTATATACCACAACCAAAAAGAGGAACATAGTATCATATATATGGAACAAACTTTTCTTCCTCACTTATTCTAAGGGTTCAGTAACCACACCTTAGCTCCAACTTCTTGTTCTCTAGCCTTGAGGTCAGGAGTGGCTATACCTCAGATTCAGGTCTGTTGTTATTTAGACTAAGATGGCCGAAACATCCTTCTGTAGCCACACCTTTGACCTTTAGGTCTTGTGACTTATTGACACCTTTGAACTCTGTCATTGTGCCATCTTTATGGGCACCTACAAACTGGCTCATGTAAATTTCTGGTTCTCCTGCCTCTACCTCTGTGTGTGGGGACTACAGATGTGAACCATGGCTTCTAGTTTTTTGTGGCTCTGGGATTGAATGCAGGTTTTCTTGTATGCTCTGGAAGTGCTCTTCCAACAGAGCTGCATCCTACCCTTTTGCAGATTTTATATTAATTTAGATACTGCATTTGGCAATTAGTTGCATATTCTGAGCGAGAAAACCCGCAACTTATTGTCCTCTACACATTGAAATGAAGGCTGAGAGACTAGAACCAGTAGGCCTTCAGGACAGAGTACATAAAATTTCTGTCTTGGTAATAACCACCTCTGTTGTTTCCACTCTCTCCCCAGGAGTCATTGCTCTAGTGGAAGGAACTGCTTTTGACCTGAGAAAGCCAGTGGAGCTTGGAAAACACCTGCAGGATCATCACATCCATGGTTTCGACCACAATTTCTGTCTGAAGGGATCGAAAGAAAAGCATTTTTGTGCAAGGTTGGAAACTTTGTCCTTATTTCCTCTGTAGGGAAGAAGAGACAGCAGTTCTTTCAGGAGCTTTCCCTATGACAGCTTCAACAGCATCTGATAGGAACCAGGGCCAAATACCATATCCCACAGCTTTGTAAAGTCCTGTGCCATCCTCCCCATCCGCACATCCTCCTGATCCCCTACCCAGCTTTCTGGCTTTCCATCTCTGCCTGTCCTGTAAGCCCCTTTCCTGTTCTCATCACTCCTGCCTTCATCAAATGTCTAGAGCTCTTGGGACACTTCTAGTGTGAGGGTCAGAGCTGGAAGCTGTGCTTCTCTTGCAGCTCTAGCCACTCCCACCTCCAGTTTGATAGACAAGTGAGTTCAGACACTCTTCTTATTCAAACCCAGTTCCTAGCATCATGTCATGTTTGGGAGACCTGATCTCTACCCATATACCTAATAACATGCTTGGCAAGAACTAGTCAGTTCATGGCTGTAGACTCAAGGGAGTCTGGGAGAGAGGTAACTCAGACCCTTGATAAAGACAGAAAGGAATCCCCAAATCTCCCTGGAGCTCTAGGAATCATGACTTCTTGGATTCCACCTGTTCAAGATACCTTCCTATTACATACCTATTACTTGAGCTCCTCTTCTAGGCGCCTCTACTCCAGGAGCCCTCCCCATCTTCTCCCCACTGATTCCATTCCTGGGCCCCTTCTTTCCAAACATTTTTCTCTAGCTTCTCGGATAAAAATGTATTTTGCATTTAAAAAATTTTAATTATATTATTATTAATGTGCATTAATTAAAAGGGAGTAGATATCATTCAGAAATTGATTCTCAGGGTCAGTCTTGTACAAGCACTTGTAGTGACTGAGCCATTCCACTAGAGCAACAACATACTTTGTTTGAATGATTTCTTGTGTGATTTGCTCCTAGTAAGACTCTAACACCAGCCTTTTTTTATATCCCCTTGGCAAGAAGTACAAACCCAGGCTGGGTGGCAGTGGTGGTACATGCCTTTAATCCCAACAGAGGCAGAGACAGGTGGATCTCTGTGAGTTCAAGGTCAGTCTGGTCTACATAAGTGAGTTTCAGGCCATCCAGGGCTACAGAGAGGCCCTATCTTGAAAAATGAAAACTAAATGTTTTCAGAGCTCTGTGGCTGGACATGGGAGCACATGCCTCCATCCCAACACTCCAGAAGGAGAAGCAGGTCCATGAGTCCCAGTGCAGCCTGGACCACACCCTTGCGGAATATATCTCAGTAGCAATGGCAGAGTGCTCAAGTACAAGGCCCTGGGTCCTGTTTCCAGCATTATAACAGAATCTCAGGGCCCCAGAATTGCCTCTTTTCAGTCTGACTGTTCCTCCCTGACTCCCATGACTGGTTACCGTGCCCCAGATATGGTACCAAGCCAAGAAGTTGTTTCTAAGGGTTCTCAAAGCCAACAGCTCTTGCCTCTCCTTCCAGAATCTCTATCCTGTTTTTTTGTTTGTTTGTTTGTTTATTTTATTGTGTTTTGTTTTTTGAGATAGGGTTTCCTCTGTATTGCTTTGGAGCCTGTGCTGGAACTTGCTCTGTAGACCAGGCTAGCCTCGAACTTACAAAGATCCACCTCCCTCTGCTAGTGCTGGGACTAAAGGCACTATCTCCCAAATCCTTTTTGTCCCCATTGTGTAGCCAGGTTTGGTTCCTGTCCCAGAGCTGTTTCTTGACCTCTTTTTTCCTCACTCAGATATGACTTGTCTTTATCCCCAGGGTGAGCCATGCTGACAGTGGGCGAGTCCTGGAAGTATACACCACCCAACCTGGCATCCAGTTTTACACAGGCAACTTCCTGGATGGCACTCTGAGGGGCAAGAGTGGAGTGGTCTACCCCAAGCATTCTGCTTTTTGCCTCGAGACTCAGAACTGGCCTGATGCAGTCAATCAGGTAAAGCCACAAGCTAGCTTGTCAGGGTAACATTGATTCAGTGTCACACTGTGGCAGGTCCTAACACTCAAATCATTTGTATAAGTCCATGTTTGAGCTTTTCAAATTATACAACCACAGAAAACCTATAGTTTAGTAATTGTTGTTAAAAAGCAAATTTTGTAGCATCAACATCTTTCCTCAGTGTTTTTCCTTGTCACTTCCCATTCATTTTCTGCACTCCATGGGGGTCAGAGAACTTTCATGGGTCAGTTCTCTTCCTCCATGTGGGTTCCAGTGAGAAAACTCAGGTTGTCAGCCTTGGCCTTAAGCACCTTTCCCCACTGAACCATCTTGCTGGCCCACACCATTCTACCAGACCTTCCAAATCTTTTCTTCCTGTTTGTTCTCTCATCTCCTCTCAACTTGCTTCTTGGAGTATTGCTACTCAAACTATCAGCCATGGGAAGAAGCTTATATGTTACTTCAGAATATAAGTCAAGGTATTGCTTCCTGTAGCCAAGTCTTGCTTTGACAAAGTAGGTTTGGTGCTGTGGTAGATTTTCGTTCGTTTTACTGCAAATCAGTAACACACTGCCCTCATGGGTACCACTTCACAAAGATGGCTTCAGAGCCTAATGCAGAGGCACACTCCTTGTAGCTGTTAGTATAGCCATGATGGCTGGCAAGGTCTAACTGCTGATATCCTTTCACAGCCTCAGTTCCCTTCTGTGCTGCTGGGGCCTGGAGAGGAGTATAACCACACCACCTGGTTCAAGTTCTCTGTTGCTTAAAGAAGACTGAAGATGTGACCTAGTCCGAACCAGGCTGGGTCCCTACTAGCCTGCCTCCCATCCTGGTGTAGACTTAGAAGCATTAAAAGTGACCTGTGTGTTGTCATACAAACTGTAGATGCCATAATCATCAGCTTGAATACTGATTTCCTTTTCCAACAGCTGACTTTGGGCCATGTCTGATAACCAGCTCTGTTAGCTGGCCACATCAGAGGACAAATTAAGTCTACTGCCAGTGCCATCTTCTAAGACCCTAGTGGGGAAGTGGTCCTCAGGACTCTAATGCTATTATAGATAGGCTCCATCTTGCCACTCTGGCTCCATCTAGTTTCTTTACTTCAAGCCTTCCTTTCTTTGATGGGACTTGTTTTTCTGTCTCCTCTTTTATCTCCGAGTACCCTGCAGAAGTGAGCATAACAATTTTAACCCAAACTTGAGTTAAAGCTATGAGAATTCAAATCTCCTCTGTACCTCTGTCTACCTCGGTCAGCCTAAACATTCCTAGGGTCACTGAAGGACAAGCAGGGGTTTGGAGTCTGCTCCATCGAAGCCTTTCTCCTCAGACTTACTTTAGGGGGCATCAAAGGTGACTCAGCAGTGAACACACACTGCTCTCATAGAGGACCAATTTGGTTCCCAGCACCCATATCAGGCTCACTGCCTATAACTCTAGCTCCAGGGGATTGAGTGCCCTCTTCTGGCCTACATACATTGCATATACACAATTAAAAATAAATCTTAAAAATTCATTTTAGAAGCATTAGAATAAATTCATATTTTTTGTTTGTTTTTTTTTTTTTTTTTGTTTTTTGGAGACAGGGTTTCTCTGTAGCTTTGGAGCCTGTCCTGGAACTAGCTCTGTAGACCAGGCTGGCCTCAAACTCACAGAGATCTACCTATACCTATCTCTGCCTCCCAAGTGCTGGGACTAAAGGCATGCACTACCAACACCGGCTAAGTTGAATTATCTTTATGGTGTGACTTAAAACATAACATCCAGCAGAGGTGTTAAAAAGTGTATAGGCATAGAAGACAGGAGATGGATGAGAACACCTCACAACAACAATGCCTACAGGATGACACTCTGCACTAGAAGCAGATGCTATGTAGAGATGTAGAGATGAAATGCATGGAAGCACCTCTTTTCCTCAGTGATCACATCATTGGTGATAGGCTTATGTGCTGATTTTGAAAAAAAAAAAAAAATACTTTGTTATCATCTGCTACAGTCACTTGAAATAAAACCAAAATTTCACCTTTGGGAGATTTGTTCATTCATGTATGTATTTGTGTGTGTGTGCACATGCATGTGCCTGCTAGAGGAGGATTTTGGACATCTTCATTTTCCCTCTCTACTCCATTCCCTTGAATCAGTACCTCTCATTGAACTTGGAGCTTACCCTTTTTCAGCTAGGCTGGCTGCCAGGAAGCCTCACCTGTTTTCCCTGGGGGGCGGGGGTCACTGATGTGCATGACCATGTCCAGCCTGGTTATGTGGATGCTGTAGATCCACTCAGGTGCTAATGCATGCACTGCAATCATGTTTACTCACTGAGCCATGTTCCTAGCCTTCGTCTTCTCACTTCTGATACAAAGGGACAAAATGGCTGCATGTCTATAGGGGAAGACCTAAAGCTGAGATAGGAATTGCATTCTTTTTCTTCTGGCCTGGGGCCTCCAATGATGATGGAGCAGGAGGAAAGGGTGAACAGCAGATGTTCAAGCTGATCAAAGCCCTAAGCAACAAAAGCCAGGAGCCTGGAGCTACAGCCTTGTTCCTCTTCCTTGAGCAGACACACAGGCTGAACACATATATCACTGCTCAGAGCGCCTAACAATCTGTTCTTTGGTCACAATCTTATAGGACCCTCTTAAAATGAAGTTCTTAGTGTTACCATTGTGGGGAGCTGAGCTGTTTCCCCCTCCTAGAGCAGTTGTTCTTAACCTATGGGTCACAATTCCTTTATGAGATAACCTTCATCTTGAACATACATACATACATACATACATATATATATACACATACATACATATACATAATCACATTATGATTAATAACAGCAAAATTACATTCTTTAGTGGCAAGGAAATAACTATGGTTGGGGGCCACCACAACATGAAGAACTTTTAATGGAGGCTCATAAAAGGCCGGAAGTTCCTGAAAGTTGTAAGACTTGCAAGGTCTCTCCAGACTACAGAGGCAGTGTGTTAGTCAGGATTCTCTAGAGTAACAGAATTTAGAAAATGGATCCCTCTCTCTGATACACACACACACACACACACACACACAAAGAATTACATATGTGTGTATATATATGGGATTTATTAGAATGACTTACAGACTGTGGTCCACCTAATCCAACAATGGTTGCCTATGAACAGATGTTCCAAGAATCCAGTAGTTGTTAAATTCACAAGGCTGATGTCTCAATTGGTCTTCAGTAAATACCAGAATCTCAAAAAAGTAGGCTCTAATGTTCATGAAGGAATGGACTTGCTAGTGAGATGAGAGCCAGTGGGCAAAGAGCAAAAGCTTCCTTCTTCCATGTCCTTATATAAGCTTCCAGCAGAAGGCGTGGCCCAGATATATCTAGATTAAAATGCATGTTCCCACCTCAAAGATCTGGATTAGAAATGGACCTTCCTGCTCCAAATTAAGCAAAAATCCCTCACAGTTGTGCCCTCCATGTGGGTTTTAGTTCATTCCAAGTGTAGTCAGCTTGACAGCCGAGAGCAGCCATCACAAGAAGACTCCTGTCAGTCAAGCTAACTGAAAGATGTACAAACGACTCTTTCCTTCCATGACGTTATCATTTAGGACTGAGTGGAACTTGGCAGCAATGCAGCAGCTTTGGTTTACCCATACTCCTGTGGCAGTGGCAGAAACCACACTGGAAGGAAGTCTGGTAAACTCATTAATTCTGGATTTTGGTGGACGACTTAAGTTTAGTCTGTGGTTGGGGCTCTATCTGGGGTGAATAGATATTTATGTCTCCTTAGGAAGAGTTAATGAGACAACAGCCATCTTGCCAGGATTCTCCTCTGTAATTTTTAACTTCATCATAATGGTTGTATATGTGAAGGGATGGTTTCATGATGAAATCCTTGTGAAGAACTAATCCTGGCAGATCTAGGGTCCATGTCTATATCCTTTGATAAGAAGCCCAGTCCTATTGGCACTATACACAAGAAAAAAGAAAAACCATGTTTTTAGGGAGAGGAAAAAAAATCATAATTTATATCTTAGTTACTTTTCAATTGTGTGACAAAGCACCATGACCAAGATAAACTTGTGAAAAGTTTATTGGGGGCTTACAGTTTCAGAGGGTGAGTCATAGCCATAGTGGGAGAGGGGCGTGGCAACTGGCAGGCAGGCATGGTGCCTGAGCAGTAGCTGAGAATTTACATCCTCATCTGTCGGGCGCTATCGCCTTGCCTGCAAGAACGACGCTCAACAACAGGATTCTTCTGCAGCTATGTTTATTGCGCGACTCATTACAGCAAGTTGAGGGAAGACCCCAAGGAGGAAAAAGGGCTCTGCTTATATAGAGGAGCTGTGTCCGTTACTGACAGTTGCAGAAGAGCTGTGTCCGTTACTGACAGGTGCAGCCCGCAACGCTCGTAACGGTCACCCCATGACGTGGATTGCACATCCGCGCCTTGCTGGCTTATGGACAGGAAACCGGCACCATCTTCGGGAATGGCACTCATCCATAAGTAGGAGGCAAAGGATGAGAGGCAGAGAAAGCTAGCTTTTGAAACCTCAAAACACATCCCCAGTAAAATTTCCTCCAATAAGGTCATGAGTCCTAATCCTAAACAATTCCACTAACTGGGAATCACACATTCAAATACATGAGCCTGTGGGGACCATCCTTATTCAAGCCACTACAACTTGTCTTATATAGTACTGATAAATTGGGAGTTTCTGCCCAATTACCACTGGTACATATATATATTTTGGAAGCCTTTTTTTTTTAAATTGTTTTATGTGCATTGGCGTGAAGGTGTCAGATCACCTGGAACTTGAGTTACAGTTGTGAGCTACCATATGGGTGCTGGGAATTGAACTCAGTACAGTGCTCCTAACCTCTGAGCCATCTCTCCAGCCCAAGTTAATACTATTTTACTAGAGGGAAATTTGATAGAATCTATCATTGCAAAATCCATGATCTAGGGCTGGGTGTATTGTCTTAAACCTTTAACCCCAGTAGTCTGGAAGCAGAGTCAAGCAGATCTCAATGCCAGCCTGTTCCTTCTTGGAACATTGACTCCTTCTTGGAATGTGTTTTCGTGCTCCTCCCAGGGGTAGCAGTGAGTTTACTTCAGATTACTCATGATTGCTTGCAGGTGTTATTCAATAAAATGTTTTATGCCTCTATGGAAAAACATGTGGCTCGTCATCATGATTGTATATGCTTGAACTCATGAGAATTTTCCTCATGTGACTTCTCTGAACCTTCAGAGTGTAAATTGTCTGAGTCTCTAAATATGGTTGGGTATTGCACACACAATAGAATGGCAGCAGGCCAGCATTGTGCTGGAGCAGACTTCATTTCTCAGCCCTGTTCTCTCAGGTCCCACCACTTCTAGAGTGGTGAGCAAGTGGTTGGTCAGCAGAGACTGTTCCTTCACAGGTCGATAGGAATGCTGTTTCAGGACAGTGAAAGTGAGAAGAGCTGGGACACGAAATGGCTCTCCTCCTCTCCCATCAGATGAAACAGATTTGTAATTGAGAAAGTTAACTGCACATTTAAAAAACAGGAGTCCTTAAGACAAAAAATATTCTAGGCTAGCATGTCTTAAATAGAAGCAAAGTGGGGTTGGGGCCCTGGAGAGAAGGTAAACATTATTGACTGAGGTGGTTTATAATAAAATCTTCAGTCCTGGGAATGGTTCTTTGGGCAAAGCACTGGCCTACAAAGTGTGAGAACCTGATTTTGAATCTCTAGAATTCCCAGAATGCCCTGTGCAGTAGAATTACCCTGTAATCCCAGTACAGAACCCCCAGAAGCTTGTGGGTCAACTAGCCTGGTGTATGAAATAGCAAAGAGACTGTCTCAAACAAGGGCATAGGAGAGGACCTACTTATGAAGCTGTCATGTGACTCCCTCCACATGCTTATACACACATATATTAGCATAGAATCATAAATATATGTATGTACCTAACAACAAAGCCTTCAGATCCTTTGATGTAATATTCGTGGCCTTAGTACTGGACCTAACTTAACAGTTCTCCTGTGAAATACACTACTTCCAAGTTCCTGAAAGAGAATATTAAAGGTTTTCCAGTTTATTATTTCTTTTAACACAGTGACCTCTGCTGGTACAGATGTGAATTAAAACACAGTTTCTGCTATTTCATAGAAAGGTGCTTGGGCTAGAGAAACTTAGAGGGTATGTAAAGT